ATATATATATATATATATATATTTAGGGTGAGTCTAGATGTAAAAAGGCCAAACTCTTTGACATTTTGGCAATTTCTAAGAAAACGGCAAAAAATGAAAAATTATCTGTCTGGATCCAAAATTTGGAGAATGCATGCAATATTTTGCTAAATATCGCCAAAAACTAAAATAAGACGTTCAAGGGACTTTTTTTTCGGAAAGTTTTTAATATCTGAGAAACATAGACTTTCTTTCAAAATCAGTTTGATCCAGACAGTCAAAAATACATAACAACCAAATTCTTCGAATTACTTTACACCAAATTTTCGAAATATTAATTGGGCAAAAATTATGGTGTGATCCAGACCCACCGTTACAATATACAGTACATACATACTATCTTGTTTTCAAACGAATAGTCTTGTGAAAGTTGCTTCATACATGTACTACAATTTTCGTACACCCAGTTATTGCGTAGTCACGTGACATGCACTGTATACCTGTCAACCACAGTCGAATAATTATACTAGTTTGTATAATTAGTGTATATGCTATTTGTTGCCAATTTATATTTTTCCAAGTTTAAATGTATAACTGTATATATAATCTAAACTTATATATAAAAAATACATCGAATCGAATATATATATATATATATATATATATACAAATGCATAAATCGCCCATTTTGATTTATTGTTCTTTGGTAGGTGTGCTCGGACATCAACAAACCCAACGGCCAATACGTGCTACCGTTCAACCGCCAAGCGGTGGTCAAATTTTGTCATCATTTACCAGTGCGCAAGTTTGGCGGCATTGGCAAAGTGAAAGAGAAATTGCTGGCACAGTTGCTGAGTATATCCACTGGAGGCGACTTGTTTGCAAGGCGGTACGATCTATTTCACTTGTTTTCAGAGACGACGGCGCAGTGGCTGCTGCAGTTGAGTGTCGGGAGCTCCACTGGTTCGTCTGGTGGCAACGACGAGGACACGCCAACTCGGAAAAGTGTCAGGTACTGTACATGTATCAAGGGTTAGGCCTAGATGTTCATCGTTGAACCTACCTAGGTATGATATAGTTGGTTCTTTGTTTCCATAGTGCCTTTTGAACGTGTGAATGGTTACGTCACTGCTGTAGTGGATGAAATGTGTGAATTAAAGTGCTACTTATTTTTATTTTTATTATAGATTGTTTTTTATCATTAAAAATAGGTTCTATATATTTTCTAACTTCCAAATCAAAATGTAATATTCCTGTATTAGTATGAGTTGTTATATATAAGATGGGATTTCTAGTCGAGAAACTACGTTTCGAGCGACGAGTAACCTCCAAACGCTGTTGGAGCAGTGTCAAGACCTGACAAGGCACGTCCATCATGACTTGCACGAGGTACGGACGATATTATAACCAGCGATCATCCTCATAGTGAGGATTTTTTATTTATTTTAGCCTAAACTACCGGTGATTGGTTGATTATTATCTTAAATTTGAACGAACACTACGACTAAGTTGAATATAATTTTTTTTTTTTTTTATTTAAACGTAAACTGTGGAGTACAAGTTAACATACTTTATTCAAAGTGGTTGGGATAAAAATATCAATTTTAACAAGGTTACGAAAGTGGATAATTATCGAAGTCAATTTACTATGGAATAAAGTATATTGAACGAACCTGCTCCGCACGACGTTCAAATGGAAAATTGCATACGTTTTATGGTTTCGAACGATATTAATATTTTTGACTGCCACTTTGATGGGAAAAACGTGACAATTTGGTCGGGAAAAGGTGTAGTAGTCAGTACTCGTGTATTTACATCGCTTATGAACCCCACGTGTAGACAAATGTTATATAGTTCTACTACTTTGCACTCGACACCCATTGCACTATTATAGTCTAATATTGACCCGATAGCTCCAATTGCAAGGTCGATGCCTCACTGTCAAGCTCAAAACGACCGAGTTTGCAGTCACGTCGCGGGCGTGGTCGTGCAAAGCAGCCATCACGTCGTTATCTGCGATGCTGGACATCAGCTGTCGACTGTTGATCAAGCAGTTCCATGCGGCACCGATAAAACACCTGCGACACTGTGACAAAATCACGACATCGACCCCTTCTTCGTATCGTTTGCTGGGGGTTCGCATGTCCATGTTGGAGCCGGCTCAACCTGTCCCCACTGAGTCCACCATTACCGTCCCTCGGCAGCAGAGTTTGCCTCAAACTTCGGTTGCTCGTTTTCTACCCACGACAGGAGCAACCCCCAATGATGGGTACTCGACGACGATCCCCCCCCCCCCCCCCCCTCGCGAAAAAAACCAAGCCAAGAGGGAACCGTGCCCCGTGTGTGGGTGCCCATTTGACGTGTGGAGTGTATTTTTAGTAAATGAACACATTGACCAGTGCCTGGCCAAGGTATCGACGACATCTCAACCAGCGAAATCAAGAAAAGGGAAACTCACGGTTCCTCGAAGTCGACCATCGGCAATGCACTTCTTTCAGCCAAAGTGAAGCGACGAATACGATTGGAAGGGAAAGGGGGGATGGCTAGCTAGCAGGGCCATATAATAGGCAAAAAGCGTTTGCTATTCTATAGCCTAATACTAGTAGAGTATTGTGTATTAACATGTTCTCTACTAGTTTGTACTCGTAATGACCTCGGACGGTTTGGTTGAATTAACAGGTCAATGGTCGCCGAACCTGCGAAATATGATATATATCTAAGTTTATGAGGTATTTTTGTGAAAATTCATTCGTTTTTTAGCCAATAGTATTGCAGCATCATTTTGTTTTAGTCCAAACATACTGCGTTTCTTGATTACCTTTGTAATTTCAACAAATCCCCCAAAATTGGCAAAGTTTGGCGACTGTGAATTGGACAATTGGAGGTATTTAACTACTCCGAGTAGTTAGTTTGCTGGGGTTTGGGGGCAATGATACGTATAATTCCCACTGGCAATCCAAAATGAATGCGATTGGAAGGGAATTGTGGGGGCATGAGCATGGTCGGGTGGATTTTCTCAATGAAAGCGTACGATTTGTGTACAGTGTTGTGTTGATAAATATGTAACCCTAGCACTATTTGGGTAGTTTTCGGATCTGCCGTGTCGCGCGGATGTGTTTGCTACGATCCAAACTTGGATGACGCAATAAGAAAAAATCTGCTTGTATTCGTACTAGTATACAGGTAGGTAGTGCGCATGTAGCAACCATATTCTTTACCTTCCGGCCATACCTTATGCACGGACCAATACGAGAAAGGAAGGGCAATGTGTCGTGGTTTGCTGCTGTTGTTGGATTACACCTGGAAGCCTCCCATTTTCTTATACATTCAATTGATGTTGTCACTTCAGCTTTGGTGGAACATACATGCACACTGTACATGTAGCCGGCCCACCGCAACCTTTAGCGCTGCGCGCAATGCATGTATTTGTACGGCTTTACAGTAAGCCCGCCGTTCAACCTCAAATGTCGTGCCTCGTTCGATGCTGAAAATCACGGGAATCGTGATCATCATACATAACGTTACAGTAACCAGGGATGGCACGATTGGTTTTTCGTTTTGGTTTTTCATTTTGGTTTTTTAGTAAAACCATTATTGGAGTAGCGAATTCACAATACTACGCTAAACTCTTTTTGTAGAAATGGGGCCAGTTGCACTTAACATGAGGTTTTTCACCCTCGCTGCATCACCTTGCCGTTATTCTTGCCTACAGTAACTACTGTAGAAAACTCTTAACACGATCTACATCTGCAGTTCGTCATCACGCTTTTGTTATGCATTCGACGCAAATGTATGAAGTTTTTTTATGTCGTCGCTTTGTTCTTCTTTTCTTGACGACGCACTTTCGCAGCCGCGTGCTCGATGACTTCGACAGCGCGCATTTCTTTCTTAGCGGTTGTCGACTCAGGGTTTTATTCACTCAAAAGTAAGAAATAAGCTGTCATAGGATCGTGTGGAAGTGCTCAAGTAATACAATGCATTCAAAGAATGCATCGATTCGTTTAGCGCATCCAAAGGTGAACATTCGGACTGATTAACTTGATATAATGCACATTTGCCTTTTTAATGGCTTTGAGCCAACAACATGATGTAATAACACGAATTGTGCTGCATGCACCTTGCTTTACTTCAGGTTATCTGGCCAAAGCGAGTACATGTCCGGATTTTTATCCGGATTCTATGCCTTGCGAGCATACAAAACTTAAGATAAAATGGGCAATGTTTTTTTTTGTTTTTCATGGTTTTACAAAAAACCAGAATATCATTTTTCCAAGATAATGGTTTTTTCCATCCCTGACGGTAACGTTATCTGTCAAACGTCCTTGTTCCGAGCTATGACCGTCGGAGTGTTGGTTTGAGTGCTGGTAACCTCCCTGCCACTCCATTAAGCGTTGGTGTCGTCGGTGCCTCACCGCAGAACCTGAAACCGCGTAATCACCACGCTGGCAATGCGACATCAATTGATGTGTCAGCTAGGTGCAAACAACGGTTGAAATAACATTCCAAAGCAAGTACACTAACAGCATGTGCCTTTGAGTGGAATTTTATATGGCCATGCTGAAACAGGTCCGTAGAAAGTACTTAACGAGTAGTACATACTAGTACTTAAGTACTATAAATACGTAGTACTACATAACGGAGTACTGTAATAGGTTAGTTAGAACTTCTACCGTACTGTATGTGGAAGCTCAAAGCTTGCTCTACAGAGTACAAGGATCGTGTTGAAGATGGAATAATTCCCTCATCGACACAGTCCTACTGTTGTCTTAACCTCAACTATCCCTTCCGGATACACTTTTTAGCCGTAACGCTAGCCCTGGACTCCGCCCAAACTCTGTCCTACCCCCGATGAGGACATACAATGCTAAATAACTGCATCGCCAGTGGTTAGCTATCGCTACTGTAACCACTGAGATGCACTGAACCCCTAGTACGACGTGATGTGGTTCGAGTATACAAAGTTCCATATAAACACTCAATTGGCAGTGTTTTCGGAGAATAACAACAGTGGAACTGTATTAATGAAGGAATCGTACTTGAATGTATGTATGCTTTCATTGTTGGGTTGGGGTGCGAGTGTGTAATGTGGTGCCTGAATCTATGCAGCTAGACCATCAAAACCTTAGTTCCACTTGGCACGTGGTTGAATGTTCTAACATTCGTCTTCGAAATCTTATGTTCCTGATTTCAAGGCTTTCAAATCCATTTTAAATCACCTAATGAAATGGTTTAAGCTTTTAAAATCCATTTGAAATACGGATGAAATCAGGACAAACTAGGGATCCTATGAAATTGTGGCAGATGCCATTGTGCCAGTTCAGTGTGCGACATGGGAACCTCACACTCGCGCCATCTAAATCTCCTGCTTCTCGTCACACTTTCCAACCTGCATTGGACTACACATATGGGCACCCATGGCTCCCGCCACGCTGTGGCCACTTCTATGATGAGCTCCGCCCCCCACAGCTCGCTCTTTGTGTTTGCCAAACCGTCCCTTGCTGATGCGTCCTCCGTCGCGTCGCCGCTAAGCTCGTCGAGCAGCAGCCAAACAAGCTCCACTCCCACATCTATCGATCCGTCTGGCTACACTCACTTGGACCCTGCCCTCGACGTGCTTCGTGCGCGTGGAGTTTTGAGACTTATCACTCAGTTCCAAGACGGCTTGGACGGAAAATTGCACGCGTTAGTGGCAGCCTATACCGCCATGCCAAGCCATAACGAAGCGTTCATTGTGCGGGCCATACTATCGCGTGGGTCGTCGTCAAAAAACAGCCGCCCTCGTCGTTCTCGTCACAACTTGATGCATTCACAGCAGGATCATCATCCCAGCAGAGGCGCGGTGCCCCCCCCCACCACCACATCCCATCCATACGACGACCAGCAGCATCATCCACTAGAAACGGTCAAGACGCTGTACCGGTTCCGACGCCGCGAAGTGTTCACACCCGCTTGTCTGGTGTATTTGGCCAAACACGGGTCCCTCCGGTTACTTGCATACTTGCACGCTGTTGGATGCACAGCCTTTACACCGCAAGTGATGGACGCGGCGGCGCAGTACGGACACTTGAGTCTCGTTCAGTTTCTGCACACGCATCGACTAGGATGCACGACAGCCGCGATGAATGGCGCGGCGAGAAGTGGACATTTGGACATTGTGAAGTTTCTGCACGCCCACCGGTCGGAAGGATGTACGTCGGCGGCGATGGACGGCGCCGCGAACAACGGACATGTCGACGTGGTTAAGTTTCTGCATGCCCACTGCAAGGACACCTGTGACATGGACTCGGCTCTCAAACTTGCGACGGACAAGGGACATTTGGAGATTGTGCGGTTTCTGCACGACCTGGACGACGCCAACAACGTGCTCAACGTGCTCGTGTGGGCGGCGCGAAAGGGACATTTGGACATTGTGAAGTACATGCAGGAAACCCACAAAGAAGCGATTGTGCGGTTCAACCACCATGTCATTTACACGGCGACGGAGCGAGGGCATACTGACATTGTCGAGTATTTGACTGACGGAGCTCGAGGCGGATTGATCCACACAGCGGCGTAGAATGTAGAGTATTTAATCATTTTATTTACTGGGAACTAACTGTACCTAACCACTGGATACATAAAGTACATAAGCGTTCGAAAGCGGCCAAGAAGTGGACAATAATGTTGCATCTGCTTGTAGAATCATGGCGTGAGTTCGTTTGACATCGCTTGCCCGACAATATCGACCTCTTGTTATACGCATATTACTACGTACTACTACGTAGTAAGATATATGTATACGTAGTTACTATAGTATTGGCGCAGGTGTTTTGGTTTTGAATCACGATACATGATTGGTAGAAAATAATCACTCTGATTTTTTTAACCAATCTTCTTCAACCTCGTTTTCATTTTCCAAAATACTGTAAGCTGTATTCATTCGGCATACTAGTAGTATGCATACTAACTACTAAACCCTTCCAGCGCATACAGTATTCCATCAACACCAAAACAAATTTTGATGCGTTCAAGTCCTACTAGTACGACGTGCATTAGTTCGCCTCTTTAACTATTTTACAGCTTGAATCCATCCTAGGGTCCCAAAAAGTCTCGCGGAGCTGTGCCCATTCGCGAGGTGTCGAGTGTAACCGCCATCACAACCAACTTTACGATCTTTCAGTTTCGCTTTGGTTAACAGTGACGTTTATCTTGGCCACTGTATGTCGCATCAATGTTGAAAAATCTATCCACAAGTTCGACGGGCGTTTCACTTTTTTTGCAATCTGCCACCAGAATCCAAATTCTGCACACTACCACCACATTCCAAGTCCACTTGGCTGCCTCGTTTAGCCTTCCTTTAGTTGACCCATTTGACGTGCACTGTACGGGATGGACGTGCTGCTTTCATGTCTGCACGTTCCCGAGCTGCGGGCACTCGTGTTTGGATTCCAACAAGGTATTCCGTACGCGCTGACACTGCCCATCATATTTGGCGACACCTGTATGCCTGTGGGCAAGGCGTGGTCGTACGTTCAAAGCCACACGTCCAAATCGTTCGTCCAGAACAGCCTTGCCTCCTCCAGCAACGGACCCCGGAATGACGACGGCAGGCATCATCACCATTCCTTTCCCAGCGCCAAGAAGGTTGCTTGTGACTACACTCCACTTCCCGACGACATCCATGCAGTGTGGGTCAGGGCATTCCTTGTCCACTTGAGCCATCATCATCAGCACATGAACGATTCCCTGGCGTTTGTCGATCTGTATGCGCGTCGATGGCCGGCGATGTTTACGCCGGGGGTGCTGGATGCGTTGGCCGCGTCAGGGGCAACTTCGCTCCTCGCACATGTTCACAGAACGTGCCACGTCATTTGCTCTGCGAAAGCATTGAAACGAGCGGCCCATTTTGGACACTTGAGCGTATTGGAGTATGTGCACTTTGCGGGTGTTTATCCGGAATGGAGCGTGCATGTGCTCGACAAGGCTGCGGCGGGTGGACATTTGAACATTGTTATATTTTTAAACGCCCACCGCACCGATGGCGCAACCACAGCGGCGATGGATTTGGCGGCGCTTGGAGGACATTTCGAAGTTGTGAAGTTTCTTCACCAGTACCGGTCCGAGGGAGGCACGACGAACGCGATGCGCAACGCGGCAAAGGAAGGACATTTGAGCATTGTGCAATTTCTTAGCCGCCACCGACTTGAAGGATGCACAAAAGAGGCGCTGAATATGGCGGCGGCCGCAGGGCACTTGGACGTGGTCCAATGGATGGTCCAACATCGGAACGAAGGGAGCGTGGACGAGGCGATGCTGTACGGCGCCAGGAACGGACATGTGGACGTTGTGAAGTTTCTGTATGTGAATGGGAGTTGCACACGAACGACTACGCACACGGGGAGCCAGGGGTTGGTCCAAGTGGCGGCGGCCAATGGACATTTGGACGTGGTGAGATTTATTCACGACGTTGCAGCACACGAGTTGCCACCGTGGGGCTGGTGCAGTGCACATGTCAAGGCGCTGGTGACCCCCCGCCGGAAAAACGGCGTCGTGACCAGTCTCTTTTAAAAGTGTAATGATTGGATGTTACTGTGTATGAATTCGCAATGAACTTCCCCGCATATTTTGACTAATCGATGCTGTATCATGCTGGAGTTTTGATTGGTTGAATTTACTTGTCCTTCTTGTAAGAGCCAAAGCAATCCACTCAAATTGGATTCGCGGCTCGACCGAGTCTTGAGATCTGTACCGAATAAGGTAATGTACAGTTAGTTTTGAGTTGCACACTGGCAACGAAAGGACTTGATCTCCTTTTTTCTTCAACGTTTAGCAACACAGTTCAGTTGTTTTGCAGATAATCAAGGACATTGGATACACATTTGTATTTTGCCTCGAAGTTGTGTCTATATTCGAGATTCGAACTCGTGGAAAGTCTCAAGGCAGGTAGGTATACTTCGCACGATAAGGCTTGGCTCCGTTAGCCGTCAGTATCACGAGCAATAGTACGTCGGAGGAATGTTATAGTCGAGTATGTCGTACTGTCGCAAGAGTTTGGGATGTTAATAGTTTTGGATATAAGGGAAATTAATATTGTTCCGTGGCCAAAAGCAACGGGTTGTCGTGCTGGGTGGGCTTAAAGTCGTAGTAGATCAAGCACACCTACAAACATAAACACCAAGTCAGTTCAATCGCAATTTCATCATGTAGATATTCCAATCCATGGAAATATGTCATGCGACGACCGACCACTTCTTTTTCATGGGTCAGGCCTCCGTCAATGCCGTAATCGTGCAAGGTCAGCATGTCGTCTGTGAGTTCGTTGCCCTCGGCAAAGTGATCTTTGCAAATTTTGAGATTTGTGATAGGACCATGACGCTTTGCAATCTCGTTCTATGAGTAAAAAATAGCATCGCATGTCAACGTGGATTCATTATATCGATCTTGGACAGTTGACCGACCGACCTTGATGGAGAAGAGCCGCGTGGTCGTTTTGGTTTTAAGGCGAAAGTTCAGGTAGCTCCAATTGAGCAACTGCAAACGCCACATGAGCTACGACAGTGCACTAGTACAATACCTACCCGCATATCCAATGTCACAAACTCGTCGACTTCGTCTGGCACGTCCAGTGGGACGTACTGCTCTGCCTACAACATGCCACGTCATATTCGATTGACAAGACAACGGACATACCGTGCTTTGGCCTTCTCCGCCTTCGTCCGCCGCCGACGACTTGCCCTTCTTGCCTTTTTTCTTGACCATCCTTCACTCACTGTCAATCCTTCAAATACACCAACGTGAACACATCTGTTTAGTCTACCAACCACGTTTTATAGGGTAAATCTTCCAACCAACCACAGAGTACCAGTATACTGTACGTTAATGAACCACCTCCACAGGAATCGAATTCGATATCCACTTGCTTTGAGGAGATTGGGAAGGGAGTGAGTGCTTGACATTAAATAACATTTGTGGCCAAAACACCAGTCCACAAGGTGTAATCTAGTAGCACGTATAGTAAGTACACATTAGACAGCCTCCACCAAAGTACAATGTGCCAGTTTGCAATACACACGTAAAAGGGAATAACGTGTAAAACGCAAATCGCAATGCATCTATTTTCAAAACCCAGTGTAACGGCGTTGACACGGCAGTTTCATATCACGGCCTCATGGACGACTGGGAGCGGCGGACAAACTCCCACGGGTACACCTATTACTACCATGTATCCACTGGTACATCCATCGTTGAAAACACCCTCCGTACAACCCTGAGCAAGAAGTGTTGGGTAGGGGCCATGCAGTGGACTGCGCCAACCAACGACACTGCGTTGGCCGCCGAGTGCGGCGAAACGTCCGACTGCGATGATGCTGTCGGGGTGTCTGTCGAATCTTCGGACTCGAGCAATAGCAGCAACGACGACGACGATAATGACGGGATCGGGGCGAACGACGTCGCAGCTACGCTGACAGAAGTGTCGGCCGCCCCGGAAGAGCTCCATCGGGTGGTGCTGGACACCGTCGTGTGTACGAACGTCGTTGAACTATGACGTGGCAAAGATGGTGGAGTATGACGTTGTGTGTGAATAGGGGTGCTACGAGAAGTATGGCAGAGCCACGTGGAAATTGGACAGTACGTAGCCCGGTCCACCCGCATACTTCTTGAAGCCGTGACCCCGCCGTTGCGGCAGCTGCTGCTGGCTCAGCCTGCCATCTCCCAGCAACCGCCACCGTCCATCCCCATGACATTCATTCCGGCCAAACAATCGTCCAGCGTTGTGTACACAGCCAACAATATCTCCGACGATGTACGCGACGAAATTCGACCTGAATTGCCCGTATAAGCAAGCACGACAAGTAGAGCTCAGAATGCTGCCCCATGTATTCCTAGTAGTACTATCTACTACAGTGTACTAGTAGTATGCAAAGAATTTCATTGCAATGCGTTTCTAATTGACACTGTTGATAGTAATTTCCTATTCGTACATATTTGTACCCATATATGTACGGGTATACTAGTCTATTCTTTGGCAGCATTGAGCGATACAGTTGTCGCAAATAGACGTATGGCTGGCTTGTCAATCCATTTACTACGACACACAACGAAAATAGTGTGGTTTCCTTTCCACATAGAACGCGCACTAATAACGTGGTGAATGCATATACTAATAACGTTAAGCGTGCTATCTTATCCTGTTTAATCTAAAGGGTGTTGTTGCCTGGGTTACTTGACTGGACACGCTGAACGGTGGGACTGAAGCAAAAGCGCAGTTACGTGGCCAGCTGCCACCGACCCAAGCAGCCACACGAACGGCCCGATGTACGCATATTGCATCAAATAGCTCAACGTGTATGAAAACCCAAACAGCACAGCTTGATGTTGGGGCCATTTTAGCATGGGCACACCTAGTTCCACGAATAGTCAATCAATATATATATATCAATAACTAGAAATTCATCAATAAATAAATATATATATATATATATATAAATTCATCACTATTTATATATATATATATATATAACTAAATTGTGGATGGACGCAGTGTACCAACGTAGTGTGGGTCAAGATGGGGAAGGTTCAGTGCCTTTAACGCCAGTTGTCGATCCACGAACGGTGCAAACAATTCCCTTGCAATGGTGCTACGATCAAGAAATAAATGATGAAATAAATGAACACGATGTCACTGACCGAGAGTCAAACCAGGTGCGGACCAAATTAAATGAAATAAATGATGAAATAAATGAATACGATGTCACTGACCGCGAGTCAAACCAGGTGCGGACCAAGTCGAGAGCGGTGGATCGCGTGGCTGGGACACAGTAGAGACCGACTAACGACAGACCAAACACCACTTCCATGCGCCGTACTCTATGATATATGATATATATTATCTTAAATATATCAAATATATATATACAGAATAGAAAACAATTGTTGGCTCGTACTTGTAACTAAATGCGACGATGGCAAACACCCCACCAAACAACGGCGTCAACACCACCGACCCCGTGGCCAAAATCACCATGAGCACGGCCCTGTATCCCATATATCGCAGCACCGACGACACATATTTCCATGTAAAGTAGTTGATTTGTATCTAATATGTAGTTATCGTCAAACCAACTGGGCACATAATAGCATCAACAGCATTCTGCTCAATGCAAGTGCATGTTGCCATATCGTTCAGAAGTATATATATATATATATATCGATGATGTGTAGATATTCAGGTACGACCAACGACAGGAGATACGTATACGAACTGACCTGTGACAGCGTTTTGGCCAACGGCGGATTCGCCACTTTCACACCCAAACAAAACAACTGCTCGAACAAGGCTGGGTACACGTAACGAGTTCCAGCTACACATAGGAATGGCACGGCCGCTATGCTTCGGTGCATGGCGTAGGCCAACATGGTTTTGAGTCTACATCACACTCGGTCAAGACAGCGAAGAAGGAGGTCGGCCGGGTGTACTTAGTAAATCCCCCGAGCCACAAAAGTACGTGCATGGGAAAGGCCAACGTGTGCGCGACGAGGGCCATGGCGGCGGTGCTCATGATGACCCAGAGAATCGGCCTAGGAACACACACAGTTGCGTCAATACGTGGACAAGAGGACGGGTCCTACCCGCGGTACGACCGCCGAAACTCGACATGCAACAGGGCTTGCACACAACCCGACACTGCGTTGCATGTCCCGATGAGAACGATGAGGGGGATTGATTACTCATGGACGTACATGCTAAGTAGCTTCCATACAGCGCATTGAGCGCATGCTCGGGCAGAGTTGACGGCATCTTCGGCGGATTGTGATTGTGATGATCGTGTGACCTACATTCAGAGCGGTCAATTATTCCATTACTAGTAATACTAACATTACAGTAGTAGACGTACTTTTACCTAGAGTTTGTATGGGCAGTAAGCCAATTACCTTAATACGTCATTCCGATCTGCGATTTGGGTCCTGGGTTAAGACCGCTTGACAATAGGGAATTTCACTAGAAATCCGATTTTAATGTTAGAGAGTCCTAATTAGAATATCTTACTACGTAGTAGTTGTTACGGTCAAAATCAATCAGGAATGATGCTCAATTTCCACTGTGCTTCCAAATAATTTCTATACACCTATATCTGATTTATCCTGAACTTATGTGGTTATACAGGTTTAAGTGGTGATATGCGGTACAGCAAATATGACTATACTTGTATAATATAATAGTAATTGTACGTAACTACTAACTAGTACTACATAGTAATCATATATTTTGAGAACTTTTGAGTTCTCCGTATGAAATGTATAAGCCAGGCTCAAACCAAGAATAGGTGGATATGTACGCCAAATACAATGCCTCCACGCAAGGAGGTCAGGTTGAACATCTGTGCCCACCGGCAAGCATGTCGTCCAACGGAGGCGCCGCCATGTACGAGGTTGCCGACAAAATTCCCCCTAGGCGTCAGTACTTTCGAGAGAAGCAGCGTGAGTATCGTCGCAAGAGGATTGCTGACGGAGACGCTTTCAAAGCACAGTGCGTGCACCTTCAGTCGATCCTTGCCCGACTTCAAACAGGGAGGCCGTCGTCCATGGTGCCGCGCGACGCAAGCGATGGTCCGTTATCCTGGCATTCCATTGCCATAGTGTTCAAAAGTGAAGCCCACCGGGTCTTGAAGGACCACCAGTCACTGATTACTCAAACACAAGAGTATCAATCCCTCACGCAGGCCATGCAACGCTTTGTCATGATGAACATTTCGGTTCGTTTCACATTTCCATAGAGGCAGGCGAGTGAGAGATCATTGCGTATATGTGTATGTAGCCGCCCATGTCCCGCAGCAATGCGTGGCAGAATGCGACATTGGCGGCCGACCCGAGTGCTCGAAACCTGGGCAAGGAGTGGCTCACGCAGCAAATGTACCACAATATACACGAGCCGTTCGCGCTGCTTCCAGCCGTGAGCTATGACGACGAGTTTTTCGATATCGACGTGCAAATGACGGACGACGGTGACCCGTTCATGCGCATGGAACGGGTGCAGTTCACGTGGCCAGGCACGGTGCAAATGTTTCGACGCCTGATCGAGTCCAACATGCGCGCGGTGCTCATCCCCAATTATTTCGAAATGGCAAGTGCTTTGTCAGATGAGCCGAGGGACAGCGAACTTGACTGATCTTTGTGTTGTTTAGGTGGTGGAAGAGACCACAGCCAACACGCGGTTGGTTCACACGACCACACCCAATGGCATGTTTATGAACACGCTCCAAGGACGCTTCGTCGAAGCCGACCGGTTCGTCATGGTCATCCGGGAAGTCGAAGTGGATGAAGTTTACATGTGTGACCCCCAGCACAAGCAGCGGCACTTAATGTCGTGGTGTGTATTCGTTCGGGGGGGTTGTTGCGGACTAGACTTAGCTGTTTCGGTGCATGATGTAGGACCGAGGTGCGGCAGATATCGCCATCACATGTCTTGCTGCGCATAGTCAGCCTTGCGTCGCACTTATTTCGAGCCAACGGCGGGTTTGTAAGTGTGGACGAGTACGCGGTGACGAGGGGCATCGATCTGACGGGCATCGGCGACAAGGAGGCGTACGTGCGGCGTGAACTGATCCGACGGGGGAAGGCGGACTTCGTGCCGTGGAGACAACATATAATGGACACGATGCACGAGACCGCGATAAGCTAATTGTATTCCGTCGTTTACTTGGAACGTTCACGGTGTTTCTAGTAAGGTACTACTACAGTAGTACTACGTAGTACTACTAGTACCGGTCGGTACTAAACTAGTGAAGTAAACAGAAGCAATGATTTACTGGCTGAATTTTGATTGTGTTTGGAGCATATCTCATGCAGTATTTACAACTTGAACTTGGCAGCTGCATTTTCATGATTTTACAGTTATTAATAGTCCATCTTTAGAAGGCAATTAATATGTTTGGAATTGAAGTAATATAATTGTAAAGATGGCCACTCCAAACAGTTCAAATCAATCATTTGGCAAAGTATAAATTTGATTAAAGTACTGGCAATAATAATGCCTCCAGTAAACAATAATGCAAACATATCTATTTATTTATAGATACTAGTATTAGTATTCGTTTAGATAGCAATTAACTTGAGCTACTTCGAAGGAGTACAGTAAGTACTTACTAGGTTTTGAAACTCTAGAACATAATTCCTCGAATAATGTTGACTAGTAACCAAGGGTCAATCATATCAATTATGACATTCTACAGTAGTGGGCATGACGTTCGGCAAATCAACGACAGGTCAATGATTCGTTAACGTTCCGTGGTCATTTCAGTGCGGCAGTTACTACGTAGTGTACTATGTACGTAGTACTTGGCATTCCTACGTAGTTGAACGCAAAACCAAAATTTCATTCTGTACGATCGCAATAGCACTGTGCTCCGTAAAACACCACCGTAACATGATGCAAACTGCATTCGTACTAACTATTAATATAATACTATTACGTAGTATTATTAGTACTTACTGTTAAGACGACAGCAAATAATTAAGAGTTACAGTCATGGGACAGCATTTAATATTAATATCATGGATACTATGGTTAATATAATATATAATTCTTGAATCAAAGCGTGGATGACATCGGATGAAGTTGTGGGATGAAACCTAAAGTAGTGACCAAGCCTTACGTTAACCCCGAGCGTCTGCGCAAGCGCGGCCGTACGAGATCGCGGATCTAACCTTCTCACTTCACCAAATGATCTCTCTTTTCTTCTTGTCGGGCAGAGGCAGGTAGGCCGTAGGTAGTGATGCGAAATATATAAGGGAAAATTTAACTAGGGGTCCTAATTTGCGTTTCCCTAGGGGAGTTTGGCAAAATCAAATAGGGTCGTATGGAGGGAACTAAGCTAATTCTGAACGCTATACCCTCAGTGCGGCTGAGGGACCCAAAATTCAAAAATGACTGAGCTGTGTGGAACAAGTCCGCAACGAATCCATCGATATTGAACGGTTGATTTTTATATTCCACCCAACAATCGAAGTTTGAAACAAGGATTTGTAGCGTAGACATCAAATGTCCGAACATAATCGGATAAACCAGCCGAACTATACGAATTATACTGATATTTCAACAGAATCCCTGATTTATTCATTTTCTACCTAGAGACCATAGGGAGGGTAATCTGCTCGCACTATGGCCCTAGGGAGGTGATAATCCATCGCTAATCTCCATGGTACAGTATTGTGGCGCTGATCCATTAATAGTACTACTGCTATTTAATAGTATAGTAGTACTGAAGTATATACAGTACTATGAGTAGTACTAATATTAAGAATAGTATGTATTGTACTATTAGTATTATTAGTATTATTGTGCTTTTCACATATTTTGCCCGTTGTTTTAGCTCCTAAAACCATCCAAAGTTTAATCTAAACTGAAGTTGCACTCGACGTAAAAGTAAGCTTCCCCATCGTTCTGTCATTGGCTGATCTAAAACTTGCGTTGTTTTACTAAAACTACTTCGTTTTATTAACTCCCGTGGCCAAGCAGTCA